AATAAAACCTGAGACATTCCATCTATCAGGAAAACAATCACATTTCTGTGAGAGGTCATACCAGTTCAGCACAAATGACATGGGTTGTGGGTTTTTTATTACTTTGTTTGCATTTTAACATGGTACATCTTAAGTTTTTTCTTTGTGTTCTTGTGGCTTCCTGCAAGAAGAGGGAGGAAAATGTTAGCACAAATAAAATCACATTGTAGAATACACAAAGGGGAGAAGAGAAGTTTCAGGGTAATAAATAATCACAGTTTTAATTATTTATTCTAAATGAGAATATTAGATTTTTAATGGCTCTCAGCAAACATTTAAGGGATTGACAAATCTTGCTTGATAAAGGTTGCCTTTTAATAAAGATGGAAAAGATTTTCATGATATTTGAGAGATGACTTGCCATCATCTTTAGAGAAGTAAAAATGGAGAAGCACCTTTTCTTTTTAGAATTCACAGAAACACTGTAAAGAGTGGAAATAATCCCCAGACCTCTTCAATTCAGGTTCTCTCTATTCCATCTTCCTAATAGCAGACTAGCTAGGAATGTGATCACAGGTAGATTTTAGTGAAATAGTGATTGCCTGACAGGGCTGTTAATGATATTAATGTTACACAACTACCAGCAAAAACACACTAATTTGTGCCTTAATTCACATGAAACTTCTGTATTTTGAATAAACAAGCTTAACAGGCTGAGGGAAGAGGCTCAGCAAGTCACTGTTGTTTATATTTTAGTTGCTAAAGAGCTCTAGTTTATGTAAAAATAAAGTTTCATGGATATTGCTAATGACTCTAAGTTTTGGAAAGAAGACTGTCTTCATAACAGCCTTTAAATCTTTTTGAGCACCTACTTGAAAGCCACTCCAGGACCACAGAGCAATAAGAACAGACAACTGGTTGATACCACCAGGTCCTCTGTTTCATCACTGGATGTTCACTACTTTGTTCCAGACTTCTATATCTTCCCTTCACCTCCTGTTCATTAGACCAAACAAACAATTTTATCAACTTGTCCTTACATGTCAGGTTTCCTCAGTGCTTATCAGCCTTCCTCTCTCTTCTGAGCTCTCCTCAGTCCATGCTTAGAGCTGATTACCAGCTAAACCATTGCTGGCATAGAATGGCAAACAATAGTTCCTTCAGCACCTTGCACACACGCACAAGTGAAGACAGCAGGCACTCAACCTCAGTGATTTCCTTGTAGTTCCTGTTCTTCTGTGATAGGACACTAACACAGCATATATACATGGCATAAAGACAATTCTGTAGGGAATTTTGCAGCTATTCCAAGGTCAAAGTCTCATACTTTTTATGTTCCAGATGTATTCTCAGCTTCTCTCAACTTCCCCCCCCCAGGTATCATTCTAATAAGCTGAAAAAAGCTTTGAGCCCTTTTTGGTCAACAAAGGAAAACAATGTTGATAGCTATTCTGTTACCTAATATGAGTGCTTTCCCTCGGAGTCTAAATAAGGGACTAACTGTACCAAACTTCCTGGAGTGCAGCCAGGTTACTTTTGAAAGGGTGATATTCAGCTGTGCTTTCTGCTTATGTGGATATTGCTGTAGCTATGGAGAAAGTTACAAACAGTTGGAAATAGGTGTTGAAACACTTTGGAATGTTATTACATTTCAAGGGGTGAAGAAGTTTTTATGCTCAATCACTAGCTGCCATTTAATTCAGCCTGGCTGAAAGAGTCCAGTTTGTTTTCACCTCTTCTGTCAACCTTAAAGCCCAGCAAAGATTACAATTTGAGGCTATAGACCTCTGCAACTTTTACTTGTATACTTGGCAAAGAGAAATAAAGGCAGGAAATAAAATACTGATCACAAACTTCTGTCATAGCACTACAAGAGCTGGAAATAGTACATCTGAGCTTCTTTACCATTTTTGTCATGTTGGGACTGAGCAAAATGCAGTACTGCAACTACCAACTTCCTCTTTTCAACGCAGACTGGATTTAACTGTACAATTAATGTAATCTTGCAGCTACTCTTTAATGTAACAAATAACTCATTAAATCTGTTTTTTGCAGACCCTGTCAAGTAGTTCAATTTATGGTGATTTACCTTCAAAATCTGGTTTTATTTAACCCTACTGACATACCAGCTGCCAAGCCAACCATGCACTCAGTAAAGGGAAGGTAGTACCAGGCAAGGCTAGCAAGGGATTACTTTGCTTGATCAAGAACAACATCAAAACTATGCAAAGTCGTTTTGAGCTCCAGTATAAGATTTTCCAAATAGGGCAGAAAAAGAATTAAAGGAAACATAACACAACATTTCTTCATGCATAAAACCCCCCCATCAGTCCTAGAGACAACAGAATACTGCAGGAGAGCTTAGTTAATGGCTGTATAGCATTATAATCAATAAATAGCAGTAGAAAAACCTAAATTCTCTGTGCCTGCCTTGATAATAGTTGGGTCCTTCCCTAACATACCAGTCCCACAATTATTTAATCTATGCATTTAACTTCCTTCCAAATCTTCAGGTGAATAGCTCAGGTGACTAGACCTCAGCAGGCATAAAAATGTTTACAAGGTTCTGTAGAATACATACCTGAAACAGTAAAATAAAAATCCTTGAGGTTTAGTATATTTTGGTTAGCACTTTACATTTTTACTACTATAAAATTGTGTACGCTAGCAGTCCATTAATGCATTTTTTAAAAAAATTGTAGCTTATTTGATGAATTGTTGCCTTTGTCATTCTCTGTTTTTTACCAGGCACTGATGACAACTATCCAGTGGTATTTATAACTTTGTTTTCCTCTCTATTGGAAGGACTAATCTCTCATATGTTTCATTCCAGTACTTCAGATTAATTTTCCACAAATTAACCTCAAATAAATTCTAGTTCAGATGTTCTTACTTTGCATGAAGTATTCCAGCTAAGATAAAGATGTTGTATAGACAGGATAAAGGGCAAGGGACAGTGTTCTTTTTACAAGTCAGCACAATATAGCTGCATCTGTCATCAAGAAGAAATATATATTACAATCAAGACAGAAAAACAACCATCTGCCTACTCCATTTACTATTCCTTTAGCAAATCTAAATAGCTTTGCAGAAGTTGCATGACTAACACTTATTAATTCTAGTTTTGTCTTCTGAGTAACTACAAGAAAGTTTTACTAATCCCTTTGGCTGGTCACTGCTGAAGTGCCTTATTATTCCATTTGCTGTTTTCTAGAGTTACCCATGTTTTATATTTCCTTTCTGGGACTACAGATGTTCTTCAGTTTCAAGCCTTGTTTCTTCCCATAGATACCAAAGAACAGTTTTATTTTTCTGTCTTTATTCTTTCTCACTGTAATTTATTCTATATTGTTTTACCAAGAGAACTGCAGAAGAGAGGCTAGGATAATAGCAATCTTAGCTAATGGGTTAGCTTAGTTACAAGCAAAATACCATAAGCTTCAAGCAGTTTGATGTTTTACATCAGCAATCACCACATTCATGTCTATTACACTGCCAACACATTTCAGACCTTAGAAGAGTAAGTATTTTGGGTGAGACAAAATGAAATCATGCTAGTTTCAGGTCACTATTCTAGCTTTGTATCAAAACTTTATATCACCAGCAGTTTCATTTCCATGAACTGGTAGAATCCCTTCAAAATACAACACTTAGATTCCCAGCTGCAATTGTCAAACCCCAACTTATAAATATTACACAAGAGTTATGAGGTTGTTTATGCACATGGCTGCATCAAATTAAGTATGTTCATAGCAAGGCTTTGGCAGTAGTGTAGTGATTTATGAGACTGCTTTTAGCCAAAATATCTATGCAAAAATCTCAAGTTCAGGCATTGATTTCAGTTGAGCAACGTGGGAAAAATCTGATTGTGGACAAAGTTTTAAAGTAACCATTAAATAGTTGTATTCAGACTCTTTTGAGCGTGAAGTAACAAATTTGCCTTTGCTTTCTAATTGGTTACAAACTGTCTTCTTGGGTTGCCTTTTAAAAATTTGGGTAAGCATGATGGTAATAGATCTAACTCTAAGGTCACATCCTATTACAAACACTTACATTGGAAAGCTAAATATAAGAACAAAAATCTGTCTGGAAAAAAATAATTTGTGCTCCTGGTGGTTTGATGCCAGTTCTGCAATTAACAGTTAAGATTTGGCTTACATTTGGCATAAAATGATACTTTCAAGTAGGCAGCTGTTTCAGGCAGAGAGACAAAATGTTTCTATGTCAAAAACAAAATCAGCATAGCCTGCCAGCTGGCACATCTTTCACAGAAGTATAAAGTACTCAGCAGAACAACTGAAAGGAATACTTTTTGAAAGCCAATAATCAAGTTTCAACAAAATTGTCAGTTCCCCCTCTTTTAAGTCTGCAAGTATTTCCCCCAGGTGAATGATTACCTGTTTCACTCTATGTTATGCCTTCTAAACAGGCAAAATATGATGACAACAGTTCTTTTCCTCACAACATAATCCTTTTTTAGCAAAGCCTAATCTGTTGAAAATTCCCAAAGTGAAAAACAGTGAAGTAGATATTTAGTTCCTTTAATAAGCAAAAATATTTAACACATTCCAATAGACATTGCTTTTAATTGTAAAAATATATTAGCTTAAGTCAGTCTTAAAGCTTAATGAATTTATGTTAAAAAGTGTTTGTAATATGCAATGTAGTAACAGCCATTCTTCCATAGTGTTACCTCCAGCAAGTCATGATCCATTTTCCTCCCTTCAAAAAAATAATCAAGGAAAGAAGGTATCATCCAACTTGAACTGTATTTGCTCTGGCACACACTGCACTCCTTCCATCTCTGAGGTCCAAATCAGAGTTTGTTATACCAGCCTTGGTAATTTCTGCAAGCAGGGATTGACTTGGCCTTTTAGTCCAGCCTTTTAGTCCACTAGAGGAGTGAAATCATGGACTGTAGGAATGAATTACTTCAGACAATGGATTGAAGAATTAACAGGAAACATTGCCATTCCAAAATACCAGTGCTCTGATCCACATAACCAAGTGCAAAAAAAAAGTCACAGCAGCCTGTGTACCTTAGTATGACAGCCTGGGCAGTGGCTGCCTCGTCCCAGAGCACCACGTTTGGTCATTGACAGTACAGTCACTACAACCTGTGCTGCTCTCTCTCCAAGGCAAAGGCAAGTGTCCAACAGTGCCCGAGCACGACCAGTCACTGTGGGGTAAGAGGTGATTGTTTCATAATCCAGTCGGGACAAGGTTTGGTGAGAGCGAAGGACATCAAGGATGTGGTTGAGGCGTCCTTCTGTCATGCAGCCCAGTATGGTCTGTCTCTGGCAGGCTAGTATTTGACACCAGTCTCCTTTACAGCAAGGATCTTGAGTGAAAATAAAACAAGATGAGATAAACAAAGTGCTCTGGTCTTTCAGAAGTTGTTAGCAAATGATAGCATCAACACCAGAAATATAAACTCCGTAGAGGAAAGGAGTAGGAAGAGTTAGTTTATTTGCATTCTTTGTTCAGAACTAGTCCAATGTACTTTCATCTTTTGTTTAAAACTCATGAAGATCAAATTACAGAAAATAAGTGTTTCTAAAGATGAAGTGGTCAGATTGTGTAAGAGAGGAGATTTTTCAGGTCATGCACTGTTTATCTAGCATCTTATCAAGCTTAATGGAAAGCAACTTTGTTCCACATAGATGAGAAAACTTTGCCTTGAAGAAAGTGGAAGAACAAATAATTGGTAATTCAGGGTATTTTCCTATATTTTTAAGATGATCTTTTCAGAACTGTTCTCAGCCTGAATATGACCCTGGAAAAGAACAAGCCAATGTTTCCAGTGGCCAATGCCTTGAACTTCTGAACATAGGAGTAGCTGTACACATATAGACTCATGAGACATGTGTCAAGTTTGGAGGAGTTAGTACACTACATACCTGAAAATGGGCATGAAACAGAGATATCTCTATGTCCTCCAAACTTTAAACAGTTTAATTGCCAAGATATAGCCCAGGAGAGCCTTGTACCTCTAACTGGAAATGGAGTCTCACCTGTCACTGATTGTTGAGGACACAGAGTTTGGGGTCTGTGCTTTGGAGTCAGTGGTGGGTCCTTATGCTGACTGCTTTCTTTGGCTGTAGTTGAACCCAATGTAGAAATTGTGCAAAAGGAATTTGCTTTTCTGCTGTCAGAGCCTGGGTGATCTAGAAGTTTAAATGAGTAAGATTAGACCCTTGAATTGAACAATAGCAAAACATCATATATATAAGCCACTACAGAAGAAAGGAACTGAACTGAAAACTGACTTGGGAGCTCTTACTTATTCCAGGCTGTTCTTTAAGCCTTTATTAATATATCATGATTCCTACAAAGATTTTGGCGTATTACTACACACATCTGACTTTTTCAAACTGTAGGAATTTGTTCCTGAAGTTATGGAACATTCTATCTGGTCTGTAAATCTGACAGCTATTGATCAGAATGAAAATGCTACAAGTGAATTTCCTATGGCTCAACATTTGTATCCAAAGACCTGAGGAATACAGAGAGAGCATTTAAGGAAATATATCACTTGTTGACACAAAGTTAAACACTTCAACAGGACAAATCCACCTTGAAAAGCTGACAAGTTATTTATATAGGAATGGTGATTTCCAGGATTCAATCACATGTTCCTGGCACCAGTCTTTTAGAAGAATCTCCTTATGTAAAAGTTACAAAAATGCAGTTATTCCAGGTGGCACAAGGCAGTGTGGTTCCCAGGAGAGACTCGTTCTGTCAAAAGCAGCAGGCAGTATTTAAAGTGTGAGGGAAAGACCTCTGTATATAACGGGTCAGGGTTCTAAAAAGAGTTTAGCAAAAGAGGCTTTTTGTTCTATACACTTAATCAAAAGGCATTGTGGCATCTCTGGTTTTCTGCAGTGAACTCATACGTCAGATGACACCAGTAGAGGGCACAGCTCTATCTTAAAAGGGACAACTTTAAAAGGAAAATAACATGTATATGGAACAGCAGCTAATATTTATCCTCTTTTCTAGAATAGCTGAAGCTGATTATGTTTCAAGGTAAAGACCTTTCTTTGTTGTTGCATTCTGTGGGATAGTATTTGACAGACCCCTCTCAAGGATATTTTCTCTTCCTGCATTATTTGCACTGCTATCAAGTAGAATAGTTGACAAGTTTGGCATTGCAAAAGAAATTTTCTTGCTGATTAAGTGGTTGTTTTTTTGTGGACAGGTGACCTGAAAAAGAGTAAAATTGAGAGAAGAATTATCTTCTTGGAAACTTATGTTCCAGAACATTTTCTAATCGGTTTTCTACTGAAATGTAGGGCAGCAGTATCACAGTGCAGGGTGGGTATACAGCTGTTGAGCCTACAGACAAACTTCAGTTCAGCTTGGGCCCCTGTGACAGCACAGATCCATAGGCTCCATGTCCTAGGGTTTACTGGACTCCTAGGGCACTTCTGCAGCCTGTGCTGCCAGTGGTCATGGTGTCACTAGAACATGAGCTGTTTAAAGCCATCTGTGATCCAAGTGTGTGAGCTTCAGTTCTACCTCTATCTTCCAGTATCAGCAGGCCTGCCACAAGTGCCAAAATCGCTTTGAAAACAGGAGTTAACTCTTTTAGAGTTATGACAAAGTAGTTGGCTTTGCTTTAAGAAAATTGGTTGAAAATGCTGGAATTCAGCCTAGGAGTTCCAGCCATCATTTTGTCAAGACTACAAGAAAGGTTAGAATTTTGCCATTTCATTAGGACTTTTTCAAGAAGGAGAGGTTCAAATCCACTTTTAAGTAAAGGTTGTTTTTTGCAAGAGCAACTGAGTCAGCTGCTTGGAAGAAGGTAAAACAGTGGGTTTTGCTGGTTAACTGGTTGGTTAAGAACAAAAATAGAGACATTCTTCCTCACAATGTTTGTATTTTGCATTGTCAGGGCCAGCAGATCTTGTAAAACTCTCAGGCCATGCACTTACCTCTGAATTGCTTATGCCTGTCTGCAATCTGTATATTTCTGAACCTTTGCATGCATTAAGTGCTGTTTCCTGGAAAAAATTACACAGAAATTCTGGTAAGTAATTCATGCTGACAATATACATGATACTTAGGTGTGCTGATAGATGGTTACAGTGAATTGCACAGGGCAGTTTTCCATTTTGACAACTCTGCCTTGTTACTGCTTCTGCTGTTTCAAATTTATTTTAAAACCCAGTTTTGAATCATGCAGGGAAAGGTGAAAATAGCCCTGTATTGACAGAGAGAGAGAGGCTGGCAAGCTATAACATGTTTTCCTTTAAGTATCCAAACATCAGGGCCATCCTGTGTTTAGTAAGCCAAACTGCAATAAAGGTGTCAGTACTTGTCACTGTTTCCCATTTTGTACATCTGGAGATTTGTTCCAACTATTTTAAAATTTATATACTTCAGCACTTAAGAATCAATTTTAAAGGTTTTCCAATAGCATTTTCAGTCATTTTGGACATATCAGTTCAGTTGTTTGAACAATGAATAGTGCTATTTGTTAATTTAGCAAAAAAGAGAACTTTGTTCAAGGGAAATTGAAGCATTAGATTATGAAATATTTGGTAGTACAGTTCTAAAATTGAACAGTTGTAAAAATGACTAACTATGCCACCTATTAAAACATTGATCAAGCCTGTTGTATATTCCCAGAATGTGATGGCAACATGTAGAAATAATCCAGCATGGGCTGACAAAAACAACTGACAGAAGTACAACAACATGGCATGGGTGGTGTAAATCTGGAGTGAGTCAGAGTACTTGTTCAGGGGCTGAAGCACATATCACTAGCTTCCCCACTTTAAGTTAACTAGATAGAGTATAGCTGTATTTGTGGCAGTCAGATTTGTGCCAGATTTTCCAAGGCAATGTAGACACATGGCTATATCTCTCAGCTGTTGGCCATTCCCCATCCATTCTTGTGGTGTAACAGAACCCTCTTAGACCCTAGTACAAGCAGTGTCCTGTGCCTGAACACAAATTTAGAAGCAAAGAAGCTTAGAAAAAAAGTGTTGATACTAGTATTGATGCAGTAGGTAGTGACAGTGTTCAGGTTCTGGAATAAATACCTTCTTACCGGTGTATACATAAAAAATTGCCCTTGATTCCAGCTCTAATCTTATCTACTTGAAGGTGGTATTTGTTTTCACTTAGAGGTTTACCAGTCTGACTACAGCTGGAGACTGGAAGCAGGCTAACAGTTTTATAACAGGAAGCAATTGATGCTGTTTCTAGAGAACCTCATATCTATATTCTCCAATTCCTGAATGAACCTGAAGTGCCAAAGGGTGCTCTTCAGCTCTCTGGCACATCCAATAAAACAATCACAAAGCCTTTCCTGGTTTTCAACTACAAAGATCATAGTGGAAGGAATCAGGTAATGTCCTTGTGGGAGAACAAAACTTTGCACTAACCTTTGCATCCATCAGGTTGTAGATTGCAGTGGAAATTGCCTCCTTATTTATACTAGTCAAAACTCCATTTAGAAGGTCTACACATTCTGCAGGGGGAATAAAGCATTTTAACTACCACATTGCATATGGAAGTGTGTATATATTTAGGCTTCAGTGTATTGCAACTAACTTTACTATTACGTTGATTAAATAGAAGACCTATACAATATCAGCTTAATACAACTTCCACCTCATATCTTCCCATTGTTTCCTTTTTGAACTGATAGTAAAGAACAGTTAGTCACATTAAAATCACATGTTCATACAGACCTAGTGGACTTACTTGCTAAAGGTTTACACATGACTGTAAATCTGTCACAAAAGTGCTTCCTCAGGACTTGCATATTTCAACTTTGAAAACTGTTGAAATAGTACAATATCCCTTTATTTGTACTCACTTCTACATTATACCAAACAAATCTGGAGATAAACAGGTCACCTCTGGTAGGCGGCTTCAGTTAGAAAAAACATCTGATGGTTGAAAGACTGCTTTGCCTTCCACTTTGGTGTTCTGTGGCTCAGAGTGCTGGAGTAGTTTTCCCAGCAAGACTATCTCCCTTACAGATCCTGCTAAGAAAGCAAATCCTGAATGTTACCTGCAGCCCGTGGTCTGTAACCTGGTTCTTGATGCCAGCACAGGGCAATGAGGTGCCGCAGTCTGTTCCTCTGGGGCAGATCCTTTGGTATTAAATTGTCTGAAATATCAGGCTGCAAACTGCTGCAGAATCCTGTCAATGCTTCCAGCAGTGTTGTCTGACCTGCAATTGATGGGAAAACATCACTGCAAAAAAAAATTAAATACCTCAGAACCCTCTTAAAATCATGTTCATCATATATTAATTCATGTATTTGAAAGCAAAGAGTGCTTTTAAATACAAAAATAATGCATTAAGTCATAGACATTCTAAACTTCAAAAACACTAATTACTGCAACAGGCCATATCAGAACTAAGAACTCCATCCAAATAATAAATCATAAATGCCTGTGTATATGTGCATTATAAACTACATGCACAGATACCTCAGGCATACATGTGATTTTAATGGGTAAATTCTAAGCATGCAACTTTGTATAAAGCCATACACCTGCATTAGAGAAAAATAACTCCTACTGTACAAAAAAATCTACTTTGGGCAACCACAAGATGGCAGCCAGAAGCTGTATGAACATAAAGATACTATTTCATGCAGTATTTCTAAAAGGTCCTCAACCTGTAAAATACAAGAGTTCTTCCATTTTTGCCATGCAAAATGGCACACACAGCAAAGAAGCCTTTCCTTGTTCTCTACCTCTATGAAGCAGGAGTCATTGCTAGAGTGCGACAATTATTATACAATGCTTTGCAAACTAATTTCTGCAAAACTGCTCACAGTTTCATGTAAGATTCTCTGCTTACTTCAGAGGTTTCAGCATGAACTCAGCATTTTTTGATCAGGATTTGAACCTCATGGCAACTTTTAAAATGAGCATTCTGCTCATCCAGCTAGCTGCTTGTCACTAAAATGTTCCCCAGTTTTTAGATGACAGCTGTAAAATAATAAAGTGGTATTGTTTCACACTGAAGGTGAGCAGAAAACCCAACTCAGTAACAGTTTTTAACAAGCACAGAGATGGTACAAGTGGGATAAGATGCCTTTCCCCTGCAGAAAACCCTGAGGATTTGTTGAGGGATTCTAATATTTTCATTCTATACCTTGGGTCTGTGGGCTTTAGCAGTAGTATAAGGTAAAGGGACATCTGAAAAGACAGTACTGTTTATATCAAAGTCCTTACAATATTTATGGAAAAGATAAGGGCAACACAAAGCAACATGAGTAACAGAGATAAATACCTTCGAAAGGTTTCTGTCTGTTTAGGCTCTCCCAACACAGTATTCCAAAACTGAAAAAAAAAGTGACTGTTCATTAATTTGCAGTCCATATCTATGTTCTCATTTCATTTCCAAAAGCAAGTTTAAGAGAAAGGAGTTTTTCAAGATTAAGTCTATCCAAAATCTTTCCCAATTTGATATCCTTTTTCCTGCATGAAGTTTGTTTTCAACTGAGTTGTTCTTATAAATCAGAATTAAAGCTAATTTTTTTTTAAACATAGGATCAATTGGAGTTATGTTTCAGGTTACCACGTTATGTCCATTTACTCTTGTGTTTCAGAATCTTCTGTTCTCCTTTCTTTATAATTTTATTTTGTTTACAAGTAATTTAAATAACAGCTGAAAGAGCTGAACTTTTCAGCAGGTGCTGGCTGACAAGCACAAGTTAACCTACCAAAAACTTGACTCTGACCCACTGTGTTCAGCAAATTTTACTGGAGCTCCAAATACCTTTTTCCTTTTCTAACATCCTAGGAAATATTTCAGTGATAGCATCAATCTGCATATATAACCAACAACTCAGATATTTGAAATAAAGGGTTTTGATAAAAAAAACTCAATCTGCAACATCAGAGACAGAAGTGAGGAGGCTGCTGGAAATGAGAAAGGCTACATATGAGTTGGAAGCAAAGCAATCAAAAGAGGAAGAAGCAGTTCTAGGATAAACATACCTGCTTACTCATCTTGCTGTAGTACAAATGACCATGTTTAAAAGAACCTTCTTCTTTCTCATTTCCCTAAAATCTGAAAGTGTTTTTACTTAAATACCCTCTAGGAGAGTATTAATTTCATGTGGACACACATGCAACTTAAATGTACTTAAGTAATGTTTCATATGACACACTTGTATTGCATCACTGTCTAGACATGACCTATCTCATGCAATAGTCACATCTCAGCATCTCAAGTTATAAAACAAGTTGGAAAATTAATGATGCTGCCTGAAAGTAAACCTCCACTCTTCCTGCACAAACATCTTGTGTTTATGAACAACCTCAGATTAGGCACATCATTTATAGGTCTCCTCAAGTATATGCATTTTTTGGCTCATTTTAGAGCCTGTCTCTGTGACAATAAAACAGGAGTTTAATTTTGTTGCCTCCATAAAGGGTCTGAAAGCAGAAGAGTGGCCATGCTTAGAAGTTATTTATATTAGTCCACAGGCTCTGTATGTCAGTGGCAAAAATGTATGTCCATATAGACAACAATTGCATTTTGAGGTTGTCTCATTTATTGAGGCAACCATAAAGCATGTAACATATCCAAAGGAACATGTGGCAGTAGGTAATCTTCCTCCTTTGAATCAATCACTTAGTTAGAAAGTATGAAGGCTTGAGTGGCTTAGTAAGTTACTCCAGCAGAGATTCCATAGAACCTTAATGGGACACTATTGATAGAAAGGTCTTTTTGCCTGGGCCTCATCTAGGCCTAAACAGTTCTTCCTGAAACTACACCAAACAGCAGCTCATGTTTAGAAACTATGTGAAGTAGTTATTAGGTTTCTAAAAATCTACAAAAAGGTTCTGGCAGTTACATTACACTTTTTCAACATTTAAGTCCATTATCTAAATATTTATATGATGACCTTTGAGAACAGTTCTCAACCTTAGTATATTATTCAACAAAAATGGGGAATTTCAAATTCAATTCACTGCTGTAACTGGCCTCATGTGGAATACTATCCTGCTGCATTATGTAGACCTGGTATTTTTACAGTCGTGTCTCTGAAAATAAGTATTTTGGCAGCATTGTAAAAATGTTGCAAGGACCAGGTATGACCCTACCCTTAGAGACCCCATTCACCTGTAAATATCACCTTCCTGGGAAGGAAGGCCTCCTTCAAGGATTTCAGGAGAGAGGTACACTAAGTCCTGGTAGTTTCTCTGATTGCAGTTCTGCAGGTCTGACCTCAGTTTCTGTTTCTTCCAGTTGGTTAGGCCATAATCTGATATCTACAGAGATGGGGAAAAAAAGAAGATTTTTAGATAATACCTTAAATCTTGGACTATTTATCCTAAATATATGCAACAATGGGACAATCACTGAATTTTACATTAATAGGCTAAAAGTAGAAGCTCCCACCTTGGCTCTGTACTGCAGATCTAAAAGCACATTAGAAGGTTTCAGGTTGCTGTGGCAGAAAGCAGGTTCAAGGCTGTGAAGGTGATGAAGCCCTTCAGTCACATCTGAGAGGATCCTTATGAGTAAGGGAAATGGAAGTTCTGGGTACAGCTGATGCTAAGAAACAAAACACAGGCTTTGTGTTAGTGTGAAATCTTTACTATTTCCATTTTCATTTGACAATAAACATAAGTACAAATACAGAAGTTAAAGAACAGGTTGGCTGTGACTGCTGTCCATAATTAGCAGGCTGGTTTTTCTCTTTTGGCTGTCCTTGTAATTAATTTTTTTGCATAAACAATGCTTATTTCTTTATCTACCTCATGGATGAGGGAGTGGAGGGATCCGTTGTTCATCCATTCAGTCACTATCCCCAGAAGCCCATGGCACTGGTAAATGCCAAGGAAAGGCAGGAGATGGGCAGACTCACAGTGTCTGACATTTGTTATATCCTGAAGCAGCAACTTCCACTCCCTGTAAAAAATGGCAAGGGTTAGAGGCTGATAAGACTGAAGGGAATTTCAGCTAGAGATGAGATAGCATAGGATACAGAAATGAGATAACCATATGCTTGAACACAAGCTAATATAATTACACATAAAACCAATATTATATCATTTTTCAAACAATTCTAAGAAAATAAAGCAATCCCTTGTGTAGTGTAACATGAAAGACTTCTAGATGCTTTAATATGAACATAAAAGCAGGACTGAAATGTGAAGGCAGGAGAAAGCTGAATTATAGATTAAGAAAAATCAAGGTTTTTTCCTTACTGTCTCCAAGAACTCATATCCTTTTGCTATTGGATTATAGACATGAATTTAAGTTTATTTACAGAGATAAAGCTTTGCTTTGATCAAAGTTTTATTGTCTAAGGACCTCAAACAATTTCAGAGGAAACACTGAACTATCAATTCAATTCTGCATTTTCTTGGAAATAACTGAACTCCTGCTACAGGTTTAACTTTGTTAATTGTATGTTTGATTTGAAAGGTCTCATTATCTCTACTCTCATACTTATGAGCTGAAAACTTATTGAAATTCATTCAGAATTCAGTTGATTTCAGTAGACCTGGAGCTCAGTTTCATTGTTCTAATCAACACTGGGGCTTCAGTTTCAGTTTCTCCTGTGTACTGTGCTGATTCACAAGCCTGTAAACTAAATAACAGGAAATACTTCACAGCCCCACTTGTTTTAACTTTTTCCCACAAATCTAAATATTTATCAGCAGCACACAGTTAAACATTTTGCTGCCAAGTAAAACAATTTATTCTCCCAGCTTTCCTAAGTACTGTGTAAACAAGGGATCAGATGGCTAGAAAGACAGAAAAGTAAGTGTCTTTAGTTTTAGGGAGCAAGTTTGAGTGAAAGATTCAAAATTATCAATATATGTCAAGTCCAAAGCAAAGCAAACTGTTGATTTCTATAACTTCAGCTGTTTTTTGGAGGGGCTTTATTGGTTTGAAGAAAATGTAGAAAGGGAACAGAGGAAGCTTATCTTTAAACAAATTTACCAAATACTGGCAGAATTTGGTTTTTGAAGGATTACTGCAATTACTATATTTGAATAGGACACTTTTGTATTTTACTTCTAACAAAAGCCAGGTGAATGGCAGCATTCTTATTTAACAAGAGTAACTCATGTTGATGCACATCATACTCCTTTTCTGGTTAAGCCTCAGGTCAGTGCATTCCCTAAAATGCTTTGATTTTCCTTCAAAAGCACCTTGTGATTATTCTTTGACATTGTGTTTTTCTCACACACTGGATTTTTTTGTCAGTAAGCTGACACCCATCAGTTACAGCTCACCTGGCTTTTTAAATTAGGACTTGTACATACCTCACTGCTTTGTGACCCTGACCATTATCCCCTCCCACCTCCCTTTACTCTCATCTGTACATGCTGTTTTATGATTAAATTCCACTGAGATCTCTTCAGAGGCCTCTAGAAAAACGTAGTACCATAGGATGCTGAGCATTACTGGTCAGGGTTTGTAGTCATTATTATAGTAGAGATAGTGACTTCAGGGTTAAGCTCTACATTTATAAAGATTTGTAAAAAAACCAGAGCTTGCTTCCCTGTAAAGCTGCCTCTAAGTTGCCTCTTGGCTAGTCAGGATTTCTAGGAGTGGAAATGTGTTTAGGGATCATATGATCCTGGCCATGCCACAGTTCATTTTGGTGCCCTTGCTGTAGGTCTGTGCTGCCCACCTGCCTGGTTGGTTGGCCAGGTAAGACACATACCTCTCTGTAGTGTTCTGGCTGGTTAGCAGCTTCACAGAGATGTCAGTGTTCCAAGAAATATGAAAGGCTTTGAGTGCAAAGCCTGAGCTTGTCCTGGTCAAGTTAAAGCTATCCAAATCTTCCTGGGCTACTACAGGTAATGAATTGGCCATTTCTTGATGGCTGGCTTCTGGGAGAAAATGGCAGAAAGAAAAAGGGTTTAATGACTAGTTTTTATCACTACTACCAAATGCACAGTGAAGTTGCACCACCCGATACTTCCCAAATAACCAATACTCTAATCTAACAGGCTTCCTTTATTAAAGTGTCAGACTTTCCTTATAGAGACAGGAAAAAATGCAATAATTGCATAGGAGTGTCTGAACCATAATTTACCCTCTGAGACTGAAAGGTGCTAATTAATTGCTCATTATTTCCATCTGATGACTGAAACATGGGTCATTATTTATACTACGAAATGGGATTTTTAAGTGGTACTGAACTATGTGTGCAAACTAGTATTTAAGAGCTACATAGTTTCCCTGCTTCTCATGAAAAAGGCAACTTAACTCATACAAGTCTGTTCTGCATCATTCTTGAATATCTTCTTTAATACAACACCACAAAAGTAAGGTAAATACAAACTTCTTGCTGTTGTAAGCTGGCAGAACTCTGCTAAATGGAGCTTTGGCTTTATAACAGCCCCTAATTTGGCCAGTACACTGTCCATACTGTAGCTCTGTCAGGCCATCAATATTCTGGACACATTGCACAGCAATGCACATGGAATAGAGATAACCTCTGGAAAGCATCACTGTGTTACTACAGGAGTAACTTTCTTAATTACACTTGTGAAGCTACATTAGGCTAAAGAATAACCAGAAGTTAGTGGTGAAAGAAGAAAATGAGCAAAGAAAACAGATGGGATGAAACCATTGGTAAGGATTACTGTGAGATCAGTAGTCAATGAGTCAGAAGAATTCTAATTGAAATAGTCCCTTTCAGGCACCAATAGGCCAGGGCTAGAAAAGAAAACATGAGGGAACTAAAGTAATAGGGCCAAAAATTTGTAGTAACCAGCAAGAACTGCTGAGTCTGAATTATTTCCTAGAAGATGGGTTCTTCTGCTGGAATACAGAAGGCCTGAAAGCCTCCTGACTTGTAGCAGGTCACTTTTTAAACTAGTATAAAGTAGAAACAAAAAGCTGAAGATAAATTAGCCTGTGCTTACAGCTGAACTGCTTCTAGTTCACGATCAACTTATTTTCAGTTAATCTCAGTATCTAAGCTGTGCCATGCAGGCAAGTTCACAATCAGAGGGATACTAAGCTCAGTTTTGCATCAATGCACAATCAAAATGCAAATAAAATACAGCACTGGATTTAACAGTTCAGCTTCAATAATATATTACTTTAATAAGAAAGGACAGTTGAATTTTTCTTTTGTTGGATTAACAGAGTTTGAAAGCAACAGCTGCCTTAAGTGCCTCACTTAGTTTCTTTATAGAAGAAATAAAACACAAGGCTGACAGGTTAAGAGCTTCATAAAATTTGAAAAGATTGCTCTAAATTAATATAAATTTCCAAATAAACCTCTTTTGCAACTTTTAAAGTTGCAAAGACATGACAGATGTAAATCCCAAATATAAAGGATATATATTATTTATATTATAAATTACACAATCCTTAATATAAAGGTGGCAATCAGAAGGCTGGAAGGAAAAAGAACTCACAATTTAGTTACTTAAACCATGATAAATCACTTAACTAGCCAAAATAATCTACTCAGCTCCAAACAGCACAGGGAATCTAAATCAATTAATATTCTAGTTTTACTTGATTCAATTTTAAATAAGTTATTAAAACTCTTGCTAACTGGCTACTTAGATAAAAATAAAACTTAGCTATCAGCCCATTTTGGATTTGCAAAATCTAATTTAACTAGAGATTTTCTAAAAACAAAATTAAAACAAGCTCAATCTTTCTGTTCTAAACCATGACATGCTGAGCACCATTGTCCCTGTATCTGAGTTTGTATGTCTGTCTACCTCAACTTAGTGATTTGCTGATCATTTCCAAAAGAGTTTAATCCTAAAATGGGAGATATTGTATCTAGCCAGGGTGCTACCCAAATTCCTAAAACTGTTGGACTAACATGGAATTACAGATAAAGTCTCTCTCTACCCCCTAGATTGAAATTTGGTACCAAAGCCATTTTTTTCAATAGTTCTAACCCTTCTGAATTATTTTTTTTCCTAAACCCTTTATAAACCTCACTATCAGAACACAAATCATTTAGGTGACTAAAGGGTTTCATATTTTGTAGTAAAAAAGTCTGACAATTTTCTCATCTTCCTCTAGCTGGATAGGCAGGTGCAGGAAGGAGTCTGCTATAAAACCATTTAAGTTTCTAGTTTAAAGGTAGTTTTAAAAAAAAAAAAATAATTCATAGGAAATACGTTTTCCATAGTATAAGAGAAACTCTACATTATCTTAATATTCAGATGTCTCAGTAAAAGCAGTTGGAAGCAAAAGCAACTTACCTCTGAAAATACAGGCATAAAAACTGGAAAAATGGAGTGAAACTGCTGCAGATATCAAATGGGAGTCGGCTTTAAACTGGGTTCCAACTCAGCTGGAGCTTTTCTGCATGAGTCAGCTGAGTTGTTGATCTCTGCTTTTATTGGCTGCCTGCAAACATCTAAAATTTCCTGGTCAGGTGGATCCACAAGTTGTAACTCTTTAGTGACTGCAGATAGGTTTTCACAGGCTGATTTGTTAACTGCCTGTAATAAGCTAAAGAGGTTGGATAGCTACTTTTTGCCACAATGAACAATGTCAAGAGGAAAAGCTGTGCAAGAGTGAAAAACACCATAGTGGATACAGCCCAGATCCAGAAGCATGTGAAGCTGCTCACAGGTAGTGTAGCTGATGCTTATCTCTGCAGTAGATAAAGCCAACAGGACAAGTATAAAATCCCTTTAAACTTTTAAAGTCAGGTTGATCTTAAAACAGGATGAAAACTGCAGTTTCTTCCTGGTTACAGAGTATGTGAGCATAGGAGTAACATGAAGCTGCAGAGAAGTAAAGCATGCTGAAGGATGTAGGGGTTATGCTGGAAGTTCAGTTGATCCATGAGCCAGCTGTGTGCTGTCCTCACAAGCAGGGAAAATGGCATACTGGGCTACATTAGAAATGCAGGCAGCAAAGTGAGAGGTCATTATGCCTCAGTACTCAGAAGTTGTGAGGCTGCATCTGAATTTAGGAACCTCAGTTCAAAGAAAATGTTGAAAAACTGGGGAGCATGCAGTAGGCAACTACCAAGGTGGGCCCTAGAGCACATACCTTAGAAAAGGAGGGTGAGGTAACCAGTCCTTAGTCAGGTGAGGAGGCTTGTGGGGGAGGTCTACTAGAAGTCTACAGCTCCTTGAAGGTCATTTATGAAAACAGAGCCAAGTTCTGCATTGTGTCAGAAAATCAGCAGCACAGGTCAAACAGATGTCTCTACTTCACAGATTCAAGCCAGATGCTAGAAGAATTTCTTGTAATGTCATACTGGTTTGGGCTACTCCAGTTGCAGAGTCACCATGCTTTAAGGCTTTCTAGACTTAGCTAGGCTAAGCCATGGCTGTCCTGATCCAGCACTGCTGCTCGTCCTGCTCTGAGCAAGAGGCTGGACTAGAAAATGCCACAAGTTCAGAATACCTTTAATTATGTGAAAACTCTGTAAGGCTTAATTGTGTTCATGCTAGGCCCCCAGCATATACTTTCACAGCAAAGGTTGATGGGACTGCTGGATTCAAGGCAGAGACTTTAGGAGAAAGCAGTCATGTCAGTTGGTCACATTTATTCAAACTTCCCACTTCATCAAGCCTGTATTTATAGAGCCTGACTTTAAAAGCCAGTGTCAGGCAATGAGATTCTGTCCACAGGCTTCTGTTGATTTTGTACCAAATCGTCACTGCTCAACATGGGGGGGGTAAGAGCAGCAGGGCAGTTACTTAATCATCCTGTGATCATGGAAAAGTCCCTTGTATCTACAGATCATGTGGTCAGGGCTCTGTGGTCTAAGAGGAAGCACACCACGAGTAGGAAGTGTGAAGTATGCCTTCATGTACACTGTTTGCTGACAGCTGCAGCTGTCTGAGCAGCATCAGCTTTCTCTGTCCAGCACACGCCTCCAAAAGTTAAAGGGAATTGAAGTAGCACAGGTAAAACAAGTGGGCTGTAGCAGTCCTGGAGAAGGCTGGAAGCACGTAAAGTTGCTGTGGCCACAGGATCCTCCTCCCCTTGGCTTTGATTTATCAACATGTGTATATGTGTTCATCATCTACACTTCTCTAAAAAGTACATTAAAAGTGTTTTCTCTGCTGTTTAAGGCATTAGCCTGTCAGGGTCAGACTGCTTTGCAGCAGAACCACAGCTATTCAAAATCACTACAACTACTTTAAAAAGCTTCTTAGGGAAAGCTTTCTAGACAGTCTGAAGGACTTAATTTTGCAGAAATTCTTTGACACTTGAGGTAGGTTTAGTTACTTCTGTCTTTTTAGAAAGTCATGTGTTGGGGAAGCAGAGTACTAAAATAACTCTGCATTTGTTTACTCCTTTGGCTATTTTCTGTTTAAAAAACCAGTATAGAACTATAAAGCTTAATTTTATTCCATATTTGGAGAAACTAGAAACATACAGGCCAATTTGCAGTGCAGGTCTGAACTAATGGAATATTATTACTGAATATGTTAATTCAAAATAATCAGTATTTTATCTACATAATTTATCTATAGAAATTTGTAGCCTCACATAAGAAGCTTATAAATGGGCAAGGAAAAAAACCTCTGTAGGCTTACACAACAGCTGTCTTGTGCAGTAATTAGACAAAATTAAGATGATAAAAGTTTAGTTTTACTGTAAGTTGTTCTGTGGTTTGTATTTTTCTTAATTATGGAAAATACTTTGAATAAAACCTTCCAGAAAGAAATCACAGAATAGTCTGAGTTCAAAGGAACCTGAAAGATCACCTAGATCCAACCCCCTGCATGGGCAGGGACACCTCCCACCAGCCCAGGCTGCTCCAAGCCCCATCCAACCTGCCCTTCAACACTGCCAGGGATGGGGCAGCCACAGCTTCCCTGGGCAACCTGGGCCAGGGTCTCACCACCCTCACAGCAAAGAAT